TTAAGCGTCCATTCATTGCTGTTATCTAAACCCAGCCTAAAAATGCATCCTCAGGCCAGTTTGGTCTACAACATATAACACTTTTAAAGCAAGGGACTAGGGACAATGAGAGTCTGATTGCCCCTATCAACCTTTGCTGGATTGTTCTACCTGTGTTTCCCAGCTATCCTGTCCAAAATGCTAGCCCAGATGTGGGAGCTTGCAGAAGTATTGCAGTACAACTCCCAACTTGGATGACAATGCTCAAAATAGCCAAAGCTGACCATTTAAACCTCACTCTATAAATAACACCCATTAGGTGTCTTTGGACTACAGTTTCCATCAGCTTCCTCAGCAAATATATCTTGTTAGCTGGGAGTAATGGGGATTCTATAGCCTCATTATGAAATAGGCCATTTAATGACTCCCATTTATTCCAGAAGAGCAGCCATTCTGGGGTAGCTATACCTTCCCATTGTACCTGTTTCAAAATCCTCCCTGTCAGACTTCTTATTACCAAGATTCAAATGGCTCCCATCCTACTGGTGTTTTGAAGAGCCTTAAAGACATGGCTCTTCACCCGGGCCTTTGGCAAGCATGACTGAATCCCCTTTTCTTCTTTTTCTTTGTTCCCATCTTTGCTCTTTTTTGTTTAATATTGTTTACTTTTTAAAAATGTATTTTTTTTAACAATTTATAAACCACCCAGAGTTGCTGGGAGTCAGGTGGCATATAAATTTAATTAGTAAATTCATAAATTTCCAAATATGTCTTTGTCTTCGGTGCCTCCATCTCAGCATTTCAAATGTCTTTAAAACCCAAATTATTCTTGATGGTCCTCTGGCTGAGCTCATGAAACTCACTAAGGTCTAAACTCCAGTAAGGAAAACTGAATAGATGCTTTCAGATAACACTGTAAGGCCAAAGAAGTAAATCACTTTATGGCTTAATGTGACAACCTGCTTAAGAGAATACGCTAAGTACTTGGCTGGGTTTTCACAACACTCTGAAGCATAAATCCCCATTCCCGTTTTAGGATACTCTGTCATGTTGTGCAAACACAGCCTTGGTGTTTGCCTCAAATGCTCTGTGATTAGACATCATCATCACTAGCATTATCCACATGTATACATACATATCTGTTTTGTGTGAGAAATAGGTATGTGTGGAATTGGGGTATGTGTGAGAGAACAGGGTTATTTGAGTTAGTCTGTTCTACAAATGTGTTGCCTTTTGCTCTGCCTTTTGATTCTTGCTTCCCCACAATTGTTGGCGAAATAACCTGTTTCCCAAGCCTTTTATAGCTATATTTACCCAGAATTAAATCCCATTGGTTTCCATAGAATGTCCTTGTAAGTAAATATTATTATTCATTTTGGGGAGGAAAGGCTGCTGCTGATTCTCTCCTTTTTTCCACGGTAGCAAAACAAAACAAAAATACATGTATCTTGTGTAGACTTTGCTGTAGCATCTCTGCCCTGTCTCAGCATTCCAGGTTTCCTAGAGTTCACAAAATAGCTTCAATGCTAAACCTTGGTTGCTATATTTTCATGACATCTGTGGCCAAAGAAACACATCATAACAACAATATAACATAAAAGCTTGAACATTGATTCGAACAATATTCTAGCATAATGGCTGGGTTTCACAATTGGTAAAAAAAGTATTTGTCCCCTTAGTTCAATCAGTTCAGTAAAAGGGATGAATAAGAACAGCTGGGCAAACCCTTCATTAAAAAAGTCCTATGGGATTTTTATTCTCCTTAACCCAGTGAAGTTCTCACCACACAGATTCTGTGCCCAGCTCAAAAGACATTTCAAACGCTTCTGTAAAAAGGCACTGAACCCTATCATTCTGGAAAAGGGCATAAAGCCATTTCTAAAGTTCTGGGGGCCTACCAATCCAGAGTTGTCAATTTAAAATGGAGATGATTTGCCACAATAACATATGTTGTCTTAAAACGGAGATGTTTTGGGACAGGACAGAAGTCTTATCAAACTTGCTCTAAGAGTACAGCATAGAATTGTCTAGGAAATCACAAAGAACCCCAGACAACATCCAGGGATCTTGAACACCTCTCTCACTTTGGTGTTAGTGTTCTTGTTAGTGTTCACCATCAAAAAAAATGAATTGCATACAAATGGGATTCATGGGAAAATATCAAAGCCAGCTGCATGCAGGTGCAAATTTGGTAAATACATAAACTGCTCCCTAATGTTCATCTCAGGTTTGCCAAACAACAAATTCTGGAGGAATGTTCTTTAGACAGATGAGTCAACACTGGCAGTTTTCAAGCTACATGGGGGTTGTTAGGTCTGACAGAAACCAAACACTGCATTCCACATAGTAAAAATGTTGTAGCAACTGTCAAACATGGAGGTGGTAGCATCATGGCTCTGGATGTTCTTCCATCCTTTAAGAAGGCATGAATTTTGTTTTGTATCAGAATTCTACAGGAGAATATCAGGCTATCTCTCTGTAAGCTGAAGCTAAAATGCAGGTGGGTCATACAGCAAGACAATGACCCTAAACATTCCAGGAAAACTATAAGGGAATAGATGAAGAACAAATTAAATTGCTTTGGAATGGCCATTGAAATGTTATGGCAGAATCTGCACAAGCATTTCATGTTAGAAGCCTTCAGATGTTACTGAGTTGAAGCAGTTCAACATTGAGGAATAGGTCAGAATTCCTACACAATGATGTGAGAGACTCATCACCAATTACAAGAAGTATTTCGCTGCAATTATTACAGCTAAAGTTGGTGCGACTAATTATACTCTTTCACATTGACCCACATTTCATATGGAGTTACTTATTTGGTGTTATTTGCTCATCGAGACTCTGGTTATATAGCATTAAGATCCACATAAGCTCTGATAATGCTTAGTGGCAAAGATATGCAAAATTTCAGAAAATCTGAATTTGTTGGTTTTATAGAACTATACAAAGCTAACTACTTCAGCAAATAAGGTTAAAAATGCTTGCATTTTACTATGGATTTTTCAAAATTGTGTTGTTTTCAACTTACATAAGCATATACCTAATGTTCATGAGACTTGTCACATGTAGTATGCATAGTGAGTTCAAGAAGTGTACCAAGTGTGATGATTTATTTTCATTTGATTGAACTGGAGCAGCTTATAAAATAAGCAGTTCCTTTGTCCCTTTTTGTGTGACTTAAGTCTCAATATAATTTTGTTTTGGTCATGTACGCTTTTTGCAAAAAAATCAACAACATGATCTCAGCTACCTGCTTTTAAAAAAAAAAAATCCCATGTGAACAGATAAATTGCTTTTGCAGGCAAATGCTCCATAGTTAAAAGCAAATTTTAACCTGGATTGATTAGACATGGCACTTGTCCCAGTTCCTTTTCTAAATGTGGGTTTGGGAATACTTTTGGTAGAAGAACCTGTCCTCTGGAATAGCACTTTTGTTTTCTAAAACTTTGAGCAGGCCATGGTTGTGCTGGGAATCTTCAGCTCCCAATTTCTGGTGATTTCTTTTGTGTTTCCATTGTTTAGGGCAAAAATGAAACAAAATACTTTTTAAACATATAGCATGAATATGTATATGCATGGGGCATATATTCTTTCTTAGGAAATTTTTAACAGATTACAGAATCAGGTATAACTTTAAACTCCTTTATTACATAATAGTTTTAGACATAGCACTCTGACAATTCTTTATTTTGTCTCCTTTTTTACTTCTAAGTCTGTCTTCTGCCTGTCTGCTGCAATATCTTCTGGGTCTCTATAAAACATACCTGTTTTCAGGAATTTGATGTCAGAAATTTCTGTAACCAAATAGCAGCTTTAAAAATTTGCTTATAGATAAGATCTCAATAAACTTCTTGAGGCTTTCCGTAAATGTGTTTTGGGTGGTACAGAAAATGTAAGAGGAACTCTACCTCTTACGTGCAGTATGGAATATACTTTGAACTGTTTCAACTTGACTATCAGGGATGGTGTAGTGAATCCTGCAGTGTGCAGAGGTTTGGACTTAATGACCTATTAAATACCTTCCTACTCTATGATTCTGTGACTTGGCTATAGTTATCCAGCTATGCTGCCTTGAAATTACAGGATTTTGGAAGGGACCTGGCTGAACATCCCCCACACTCACCCCTGGTTTTCCAAATATACGTGACCAGCCTAGAAGCAAAGTCTGCTGCATTTTTCTTACTCTGAAATAAGATAACTATACTGTAAGTCTCTTCCTTTTATTGCTTCCTTCCCCCACCCCCCACGGTTTTCCAAATCTATCTATTCATGCCCACCATTTCCACAAATGTTTGAGTTTATAACTCCAAACCTTTACTTTGTGGTTTTCATAGAGCCTTTTTCTGTTTCTTATTTGGCAAGTATTAAATTCCCTTTTTCTATAATCTTTATATTATGATTATTAGAAATATACCACTCCATATGTTACAAGGTTGGCATACAGACCAAACTATTTAGAATAACGTAATGTATGATTTGAATTGTTTCTCTCAACTTGCTTTAAGTTAAGCATCAGTACATAAATTAAAACAAAGTTATCTGTTCCTAGCTGTGTCTTGACACATGTGAGTCCATAGGTGTGTTTGATCAAAGAGTTGCACTAACACTCTGCATTGGTCAGAATTTGAATAAATGTCAGAAACCTGACTCTCTGCCCTTTCCTGATCAACAGGACTACAGTACTTCTAGCGATGGATGCCTAACAGACACGCCCCCCCCAAATTAAATTTGACTATGTCCATGAATGACCTGATTCTGATAAAATGTATTTTCATCCGGCCTGTAGTTGGGACCATGGTATAAACAGAGACTTGTTATTTTTCTCTTAACTTCAATTGTTGACCCTGGTAAACAAACAAAAGTGGCGTCTTCTACCTTGTGAATACTTAATTCTTGTAGGATGGTGGTGGTGGTGGTGATGATGATGATGATGAAGAATATCCAGCTTTAAACATGATGTTGACAATAAGGCAGAATTTAAAGTGTATAATTGGTAAAGGTGCTATGCTCTCCAACAGGAATGCAAAAGGCTACTGAGGAAGATACCATCACGTGCTAAAGAGAACATGAGGAACCTTGTGCTGCTGTTTCTCTTGGCAGCCTTTGGACTTTGCTGGACCCAGTACAAGTCTAGTCCCAAACCTGTAAGGACCTCTATTGTCCATCTTTTTGAATGGCGCTGGGTCGACATTGCTCTTGAATGCGAGCGGTACTTAGCCCAACATGGATTTGCAGGTGTTCAGGTGAGTATGTCTGTCTCTTTAGTTATGGCTAAATAACCACTGATAGAGTCTGGGCTCTGATATATACAGAGCTAGTCATGAAGAGCCTCGCACACATACAGGTAGTCCTCGACCTATGACCATTCGTTCAGCGACCATTCAAAGTTACTATGGTGCTGAACGAATGGTGGTTACAAGCAGCCCTCAGAGTTCCGGCCATCCCAGCACCCCTGTGGTCATGTGATCTTACGGTTCATACTTAATGACTGGTTGCAGTGCCCCTCGATCACATTATCACCATTTGCAGCCTTCCCTGCTGGCTTCCCCATAAAGTCCCTCAGCTCCTCTGGCTTGTGCTACTCACTCATGCACCTGACCCTCACTGCACCCTTGTGCGCTCTCCCTGCGCTGCACCCACACTGCACCCTCTCTGACCCACGTCACACCTCTTGCGCACCTCCTGGCACCCTCATGCACCCTCCCCAACCTGTGCTGTGCCCTCATGCATCCTCCCCAACCCTCCGCACACCTTCCCCATGCTGCACTCTTGCGCTTTCACTGTCCCACGCCACACTCTCCTCGCTGCAACTCCATATACCCTCACCAACCTGCACTGCACACCCTCATGCACTCTCCAACCCATGCTGCAGCCTTCCACACTCTCCTTGACCTGTGCCACACCTCCACACACTCTCCACAACCTGCACCACACCTTAATGCACTCTCTCTGACCCATGCCACACCTCCACACACTTCCTTGACCTGTCCCACACCCTCATCCACTCCTGACCCACGCCACACCTCCACACACCTTACCTGACCCATGCTGCACCCTCACGCACCCTCCCCGATGCAGGATTTGCATTGTATTTAGAAGTTTGCCAATAAAATTTGGATTTTGTGATTTCCAGGTAAACATAAAGTAAGAAACATATATTTATGGTGGAAATAAGAGAATTCAAGGTTTAATTCCTCACTCAGATGTGAAGCTCAGTGGCTGATTCTAAATCAGTCATGCTCTTTTAGCCCAACATAGAAATGCTATATGCTTTCGTGGTGGAAGAATGAGTTGAACAATATAATTTTTATTTGATCTTACTATGTAAGCAACATTGTGGCAAAATAACACATTGCAAAGGTTACTGAAACCTTCCACCTTAAGTCTGGGAAATCCTGTCCTATCCAAACATTGTCTGTTTCTCAGATGCTGTTGAAAACAGGGAGCAGTGATGCTGATCCCTGGGAAGGGTTTGGTTGAAGCATCCTCCTCTCCAATGAACCTTACAGGGATAGTCACTATGTGTGAGAGAAAGCAGGAAACAAATAGGGTGTGATTGCCTATGTGTAACGCCATCCCCTCCACTTGTGCAAATTGTTCTGTGGAGTCATGTGAGTCTTTTCCTCAGAAAGGTTGGTGACTGCTAGAGAGGGAAGAAGGCAGGAAGATAATCTGCTTTCCTGTCTCTTCTGTTGGCTTTTTCTGGTCCAACATCATATTTAGGATTACTTGTTAACCTCAATGATAATGCTTAATAATGTTACAAAATTGTACTGTATAGTGAAGAGTTCCATAGATTTCAAGTTTAAACCTTTTGAAGATCAAATCTCTCAATTCTGAATTCAAAACAGATATTTCAATCCTCTTTCCAATTTCTATAGAAGTAGTTTTATCCTGAAACAGCTTGCTTCGTATTAGGGCTGCTTCAAGCTCAAACGGAGTTCTTTCAGGGTTAAAACAGTTCCAGTGAAGTTGAACCAGCCAATTTCAAGCTCGAAGCAGTTCAAACCTGAAATGCTTTGTATACCTCTAATTGTACATTGTTACAGTTAACTTTCATATTCATCCTGATACTCTTGTTTAAACTATGAATTGGTTGGGACCAATAAGATTAATAAAATCTGATAGTCAGGATCTGTAATATTTATTCTCTACCTACTCATTCTCTTTCTGAATATCTAGGTTTCTCCTCCAAATGAAAACCTTGTAATTATGAATCCCTGGAGACCATGGTGGGAGAGATACCAGCCAGTTAGTTACAAATTATGTTCACGTTCTGGAAATGAAAGTGAGTTCAGAGATATGGTGACTAGATGCAACAATGTTGGAGTAAGTGGCTTTCACTACTTTAGTGCTAGTTGAGGGGAGCAGGAGATGTCAGGTCAAGGGCTACCCTGGTATATAAGTGGAAGTTGGTATTTTTTTAACGGTGTCTTATGAGATATTTGTCCAGTTTTCTAGATTCAAAGTTCTTATTAGCTAGAATTAATTCTATATAATAACACATCCTAGTTCCTCAAATTTCCTTGGAAAAAAACCTAAATAAATAGAATCACTTTGCCATAAAATAATTTTTATAATTATATAAGAACTATTTTCCACAGCCTGGATCAGTCTGAAAGTTGTAGGAGGGCATAATCTAAAAAGGGACCCATTGGCCAAATCAGTTTCCAAGGTTGCTTGTCACCAAAATGTCTTCATCAGTTGCACCATTTATATGAACCATGTGTGTTTTCAATCCTCGTTTTATTAGCATTCCATATTATATAATAATGTTCTCAGACTTTGCTGGGTTAGCATTTTTATGTCTAGCATCAGTTTTATCCAAATATCATTTTGACCTATATTAACTTTGTGGCCAATTTAATTCTAAAACCAAAAATTACTCCTAAATTGCTCTAGACAGGTAGTGGAACAACTCTGCATTCTGTTGAGTAAAAACAATCATGTCGTTCTGCATGCTGTCCTGAAAAAAATGGAGATTTGATTCATACATTGGCATAGGGCTCTTTCACCAGCCACGTGGAAGTGTTTTCTTTCTATCCTTGAGATAGAAGGAAAATAATGTTCTAAAAAATGCTGTCCTAGCAGTGGGGAAGAGATAAGCTGGCAGATAGAGGAGAAGAATGTGGCGGGGAAGGCCAGGGGAGCTAAGATTTGTATAGTGGGGAGTGGCTGCAGCTATGCAGTGCCTGTTAAGTTACTTTGTTAAGCAAATGCTGGCCAAGTCAATGGGAAGAGGGGCAGCTGTAGCTTTCCAGATCACCTCTCTTCTCAGTGAGCAGTTGAGGTGAAACACGTGAACATTACTTAAAAAAATTATGTAGCTCCCCCCCGAAATGTGCAACATATGCAACAATTTATTCAATAAAACCAGAGATTAAGAACAAACTTGTTGGTCACTTCTCCCACTGTTGGTATGCCAAGCATGCGGGAAAGTTATCCATGGGAATCTTGATCTAGTGGAAGACCTGCCTCTGGTCTTCCATGAGGTTGATGTTCTCCTGATCAAACTACAAGAACAGAAAAGAAGCCGAAAGCTGTGCAAGAGAGGGGTCCAGCCTCTATGGCAGCCACAACAGAAATGGCCATACAGGCATGGAGCTCAGCAGCTGGATGTGAGAGGATGGTCCTGCAACAAACCAGTTAGAATCCAGCAAGTTGCTGGTCTTTGAAGACTCTTCCTGATGAGATCAAGAATATCTGCACAGGAGGTCTTTTGCTGTGGTATCTGGGAAAACACTTTCCTGCTGGAATATTGGAGCTAGCTTCAGCCTCCCTTAGCAATAGGTTGGCAACAAGATGGAGGCTTTGATGTGAGGATATGACCTCAGCCACTGTTAAGTAGGATGCCTTTGAGGTGTAGAGAGGAAGTTTGTGGATGTGCCCATAATGGGGTAGGAGCTGCATACTTGTAGTTTTATGATCTGCTGATCTAGTAATGTGGAGGAACTATATAAGCATAAGAAATGATGTTTCCTTTTGATGTAAATGCTACCTAGCTACTGAAAGAATGGAAATGAAGACAAAGAAAGAGATTTATTATTTTCCCTTCCTATTTATTTCATTTATGTATGCATTTTTGGAGTGGTATTAATCCAAATTGGGAAAAATATCTTCTGTAGCAATATGATAACATTTGAAGTGGGACAGAGTTTGCAAAATTTGGGAATTGTATTCAAAAATCTTCCTCTGAATCTGAATCTTCCAAGTACTGATTGTAAATAGTTTTATAGAAAAAATTGTAAACCAAGGGATGATCCACCTAATTCCTTATTCAAAAGCAAAACAAAATAAAAAAGAACAATCCTTGTTTAATATTTTATTAACACTAGCCCAGATGCCCCAGAAGAATGTGCAAGATTCTGAACTCTCAGACATTTCTTCTATAGAACAACCAGGGATGACAGAAAAAAATGAATGTTTCAGAAGTTTAATCCTGCGGCCAGCAATTTAGACTAAATGTGAAGATGGGGATTGCAAATTGAATGAATGAGTCATTGATAGGTGTTGCAAGAATCACATTATATCTAAACATCATGGGTCAAAATAGCAAAGGCTAACACTCCTTTTTCCCCATTTCTGAGAACATGAATATCCAAAGACCTCATATTTGTCTCTTGCCTTGGGCAAAATTCATGATCCTAGCTTCAGCAGAAAGCTTATGTTAGCAACACCAGACCGTATGCATTTTCTCCTTTCCTGTGTATATAACCTTTTGTGTGCTGATGGCAGATTATCAATGGCTGAAGAATGTCTTAGATGGAAGAGTGTGAGGAAGAACAGAAAAGAATACATTAGAGAAGAGGATTGTGTCCTAAGTAAAATGCAACTCTTTTTATATTTTGGACAAGCTTTTCTTTATTAAGGCTTGGTAATTTTCAAAAGCAAGTATTTCAGTTAAGGAGATACTGTGAGTGTTGTAAGTATAAGGAAAGATCTTGTGTTAAAAGAAGAACAAGGTATGGCTGAGATCAAGTAACATAAATGTATATATATATTTCACTTGTATCTTCAACAGGTCCATATTTTTGTGGATGCTGTATTCAACCATATGCTCAATTCAGCAGCCGGATCTGGCAATCGTGGTATTTGTAACAGCTATTTCAATGCAGAACTCCATGATTTTCCTGCTGTCCCATATTTGAAATTTGATTTTAATGACCCAATATGTAAAACACCCAGTGGGGATATTGAAAACTACAGTGATCCTATTCAGGTAGACTTTCCCATATTGATATTTTCTGTTGTGGTATATGTTTTATTATTGCAACTGGTGGCTTGTCATCATTTTTCCCTTTTTGAAGCAAAACCTTAATTGCTCTTGCAGATGAAAATGCCAAACCGAGAACAGGTTTTGAGTATTATTACTGTATCTGTATCTGCTGGAGGAGAGAGAGCGCACTTACGGCAATTGTGCTTGTAGTGTGCAAACATTTAGATAAATCTGTTGGCCACTTCATAGTAGAATGCATAAATGCAAATTCTGTGACATGCAATAGTGACTTTGCAAAACTCCTGTACCTCTTTAGACAAATGTGGATGTTGAACGAGAGATACCAATATGGGGTTAGGATTTTTTTAAAAATCGAAGGAGAATTTTGAATGTCTGATACCATCTAACATAACTGGTCTTGTGCATGTGTCTGCACTTCTTGTTGTGATCAGAGTGATTGTGTGAATAAAAAGAATTCTGAAGCTGTGTATATTCAATAAACAGATTCAAAGGATACAGTGTTAATGAGGCATATCTATCTAGGTCTTAGACTTGCATTAATATATTGCAAATCAAAATTGTACTTAATAAAGATAGGAGTCAGGAAAATCAGGTGACTTTTATTCTAGTAGAGGGCTGTGTTGTAAATGCTTGAAAACAAGGGGGACAAGTTCCATTGGACACTTTGAGATTCTCAGCTCTCATTTTGTGGCATCCCAGAATATCCTTGGAGTGGTTGAGGTTCGAGCCATAGATCCATCTTAGGGAGAGTGGCTTAAGGGGCAGTGAGGGCTTTAATTCTTTCAACCCTTCAACATTTTCCCAAATCAGATTGATTTTTCTGGTTTTGTATGGTTGTAGTGATCATTCTCCCCATATGTATAGGTTCGTTACTGTCGACTTTATGGACTCCTTGACCTTTCCCAGTGGAAAGATGATGTGCGTTCAAAAATAATTGACTTCCTGAACCACCTGATTGATCTTGGCATTGCAGGGTTCCGAATTGATGCTGCCAAGCACATAAGGCCTGAGGACATAAATGTTATTTTAAGCAAGCTAAATAATCTCAATACCCAGTGGTTCACCAAAGGTTCACGACCTTTCATCTATCAAGAGGTAAATAATAATAAAAGGAAAATTCCTAGTATTTGTCCATTGTTTTTAAATGTTCATGTGCTTCACATGTGCTATCTTGCTGCATCCTTACAATTTTGTGGACTGGGAGACCTAGGAGGAGTAATTTGCCAAAGGTGTGATGCAATCCTATCTATCTATCTATCTATCTATCTATGAAATTTATATCCTGCTGCAATCAGGACTCTTGGCGGCTCATAAAATAAGGATATATGGCAACACTATATGTGCCTGCTCAATATTAAGCTTAATTTCAGGGGATATCAGATTGCGGCACTGATGACCCTAAGATCCAATATACGTTTGGTCTGTTCTAGAAAAGCAATTCTTTACAGATCAAGTCTAAGGCATTAGCTAAATGACTAGAAGATTGAATGTGCTTGTTGGCATTTTTGTAAACTCTAGGACCTGGATGTGCAAGCCTTTCCAAGTTTAGAGTTTTAAAAACTAATTGATTTGAGCAGAAATGTAAGTTAGCTAAGACAATGAAGACCTGGAGGTTTATTAAGTTAAACCCTGAGGTATTTACATTATTTACACAAAGGTAGAACTTCAAAAGGGCAAGAGCTAGAACTCAGAGGAAACCAGTTCTTGAATTTATAGCCTTTTTTTTTCTTGTCATGATGGCAATGAGTTGGAAGTAATAGAACAATGTGTGATTAAGTAAATATAAGTTACATATGTCTTATTTCAGAGTGCTAGCTCTTTCTTTGAAAACCTACTAATGATGGCTTTCCAGCAGCCTGCCTAAAAGTGCAGATGTTAGTCTAGTCTTGTTGAGGAGAGTTCTCCACAGTCAGGATGCAGCAGAAGCATCTTGATGGTTCCTATCCATCTTCCTTTCTTGGTGGTGAGACATTTCAGGAGGACCACCAATCCATGCCTGAAACTATGAACAAGTTTGTATGGGAAGAGGTGCAACTGCAGCTAGTACAGTTGGTGCAAGATGGGCCTAAGATGCCCCCAAAATTACATGCCAGAAACTAATTTGGTGACTAAATGTTTGCAGTTTCTAAACCATTTTCAAGAATGGGTCAATACAGAGTATAATAGGAAGTGATCACCATGTCAGATCTGCTGTCTCCAGGAATCCTTTCTCTTATTTATTTTTTTTTCTCTCTCCCTTGGCTTTTTCCAGGTAATTGATTTGGGTGGTGAAGCTGTCCAAAGCTCTGAATATTTCAGAAATGGCCGAGTGACTGAATTTAAATATGGCACGCAGCTTGGGGCTGTTCTTCGAAAATGGAATGGACAAAAGATGGCAAATTTGAAGTAATTATTTTTTGACACTATCTAGGACCAGGGGTCCAAGTGCAGGAGAAGGGTGCAGGTACTTCTGTGCCTGCAAAGAGAATCCTGGTGCTACAGATGGCTTCTTCCACCCAGCATGAGACAAAGCCTTGTCGTTTGCAGCCAGCATGGATTTTGGGTGCAAAGTTTGGCAACTGTGCTTCTCAAATTGGAAGGACTGGATCATGTCCTTCTTTTCAGCTTAATGACTAAAATGGCCTACTTTGAAATATCTTATAAATACATTCTTATTTCTTCCTGATTTAGGAACTGGGGAGAGAGCTGGCATATGATGCCATCTAATAAAGCCTTCATCTTTGTAGATAATCACGACAACCAAAGGGGACATGGAAGTGGTGGGGCCTCCATTCTCACTTTTTGGAACCCTAGGTAACCCGACCCCTATTTTTAAAAAAAGTTTATAAAAGCTGTTATGTGTTTACAGATCGAATCTCAAACCCAGTTGATGTAGATTCCATCCCATCAGAAGTTTAAAAAGTTGACTATCTCACCACCAGTAATTTACAAATTAATACCATACAGAGGTCCGGTAGTTTATCTAGCTGTAGTCATTTCTGCCCCAAAGCTGAGTTAAGCGATTCTGAGAAGAGAAGCCAATTAAAAAGATGTTTTTTAGATCCCCTTGGAAGCAACTTAAGGAAAGTTGGGGTACAATGAGAAATATATGAGATTGCCCCATTATTTTTCAGTATGACAAGACACATAATTTAGAGGGGAGGTAGTACTCACATACTGTATATGTGCTTTCTATTAGAGGCGTAACCATACTTTATTTTCATTAAATCTGGTTTTTATTGCATGTTTGCATGAAACACTTTTATATTCTATAGTCAAGATTTAAAAGAAAACATTGCATAGCTTCAGGAATTGAATGAGTTGAATTTCTTCTTTGATTTTGAAATTGGTGGTCACAATTGGTTGTTTTCTCATGTCCAAGTGGAATTGGTGCAGATATCAGTGTCAAATTGGAAATCACCATTTAAGATTAGATATGAAAGATTTTCTCCATGTTGGCAGTGTCAAGAACCCTGTTTAAAATGCATAGTTTCCGTAGCTTGGATGGCCACTGATGCATTTGCTCTTTGAGTTTTGATTCTGTGTTCCATCTTGTTGCTAAATCATAATGCATCCAACTTATTTTTAAAAAATCTTCCCATAAAAGCAGTCCCTTGTATTAATGTCATTAAAAACTTTTAATACATACTTTCTCTCGTGTATCCTTTTCTATTAACAAGCTCAAGAAATTATTGTTTACCTGCTGCAGCCCTGGTGAGATGATAGTAAAGATGGCGGTGATGATGATCACATCTGCCAAGTGTAGTCTGAATTTTCTTTTTCTGCACCTCCTTAAATGGAAAGTTGGCATGCTACAAAACAAAGCTTGAGCTTCCATCATCATCTTTATAAAAATACCTCTGGGATCTACATAAGCAATTTTTAGACAGTAAACATTGTGGGTTGCTACAGCCAAATGCTTTATTGGTCATTTTCTATGTTTGAATACACACTTACACCAGAACTCTTCTTTTATCCATTTAATAGACTCTATAAGATGGCAGTTGGGTTTATGCTTGCTCATCCCTATGGTTTCACACGAATCATGTCTAGCTACTGGTGGCCAAGAGATATCCAGAATGGAACGGTAACTTTCTGTTGCTTCACAAAAAGATATTTAGAATGTGTTCATTTTATTTGTAAGCCACTGTATCTTATCTCATCATTTTGAAAACAGACTGAAATAGTTGTTTCTCTGTGTCTGTTAATGTTAGCTTTACAGCAGCATTTTAATCATTGTATTTTATACTTTTGTCCATTTATTTTGTTTGCATTCATCCTTAAACAGCTGGGAGGATGTTTGTTGATGAGCAACCATTTGGATTTTATCATATAAAGAATAAGAATTGCATCTTTTTACTTTAAAAATATTTGCACGCACACAGAAACACTCATATTTTGTAGGAAAAATTAACCTTTGCAGGTATTTCAGCTTGCTGACATTTGCAATGCCAGTTTAGATTTTTTTTTTTTTAAGTTTCACTGGTTCTCAAATTCTTGTACAAATGATAGTAAGAATCTGGTTGACTTTTCACAGTCTATGACTGCTGTTCCTAGAAATGTTTAAAAGCCAGATGTTATGAAGGAATGCAGATTTTATTTAGCATGTTTTTATCTTGCTTCTTATGGCTTAGTAATCACATACTATGCCATTTTTTAAAAAGGACTTGAATGATTGGGTTGGACCGCCAAGCAATAGTGATGGATCCATTAAACCTGTGATAATTCATGCAGATGGAACTTGTGGCAATGGCTGGATCTGTGAGCACCGTTGGGATGAAATTCGGTAAGTGCTTTCAGTGCTACCTTATATAGAGCCTTCTCGAGAGTAAATTTGTTCCTCTATATATCTAGGGTTCAAATGACCAAGTATTTTTCATAGGTAGGCAGATAGATTTTAATGATGCCTCTCTCAACTCAGTGCTGTGCAGATTTTATTGGATTATAATTCCCATAATCTCCAGACACCACAGCCAATAGGAGTTTTATCTAAAAGTTACTGTAGAGAGTAAGAAAGATGACCTTGACAAAGATATGCAAGATCGGTTGCCAGGGCGACCAAGGGTAAAACATATTGAAGTCCACAACAGAGAGATAATATTTGGAAATAGCTCAGGCAGGGACCTCCCTAAGTCACTGAATTATATGTTGTACCTCCTCTTACACAATCAGACTTGCAAGATTGATGTCAACCCCACAAGGTAGACCAGACCTGGAAATCAACTCCACATGGAAGCTAAAACTACTTTTATTGAGATTGACTATAATAACAGAATCTTGCAAGTCTGATTGTACTGTACCTCTTCCTCCTTCTTATACTTCACTGAATTAGAGAGGTGCCTGAGCCGAATACTATCTGTGGATTTAAAATATTTTTACCCCTGGTTGCCCTAGCAACTGATCTTGCATATCTCTATCAAGGATATCTTCCTTAACTTTCTACAGTTACCAGGTTGTGGAAGGAAGTGTATATTCCTCACACTGATCCATTTGTTCCATTCCAGAAACATGGTGATATTCCGAAACGTTGTCTTTGGGGAGCCAATTACAAAGTGGTGGGACAATAATAACAATCAGGTGGCGTTTGGACGGGCTGGCAAAGGATTCGTTGTGTTTAATAATGATAACAGGTATGTGTATTTAAGGATTGAAAGAGGCTTGGATTTCTGTGCAGTATATAGTAGGTCAAAATAATTTAGGCTGCATCTTTGGATCAAAGCTAGTTTACTGTTAAGTACAACCAATTTGCTGCTTTTCTGTTGTATGATTGGTCATATTGAAAGGGAGGTGCATATCTATCAAAACTGAATGCCACTATCAGTCATTCATACTTAACAGCTATCTGTAGCACTGGGTTTACTGATATTTCTTCTCTTGAGATTTTATAGGTCTGACTGGGCAAATGCGATGTAGCTTTTCAGCTTACCATGCTGAGTTTTTAAGGAAGCTTCTGTGACCCTCCAATCACTGTATAACAAAAAATATTGTACAGATCACAGATAGGAGTTGGGCAATTTTGGGGTTTAAATTGTATGGGTTCTTCTTCTTGAGGTGATGAGTCCATCTCAGGGTTCAGGAGTATTTGTTTCCCAAGGTTTTGGGGATTGGCAATGAGAAAGATCATCCTACTCTACACAGGTGTCCCACCAAGGACAAGGCAAAACAAAGTATGATCTAAGTGTAACTAAAATAAATATTTGCTTAATTCCACATTACATGTTCAACCATTACATGGGAATATAAAGTTCTGTGTAGCGTGCACCTAAGAGAAAGAGGTGTATACTACTATCCAACTCTCCCTCATCAATCTTCTGGTAAAACCACCAGCACTACACTTTGTTTAGTTTTCTTCAAGGCCAAGCAAGTCATTACATGCTGTCATCTGCCGTGGCATCAGAATTGTTTATATCTACCTACTCTGTTGCTAAATCAAGCTCCAAAACTAAACAAACTACTTAGTATTTAAAATCTTTTCAGCTGTTTGTCTCTTTATGCTAAGGGAAAAGCTATGTATTTATCCATATCCCATGGACTGTAGAGCTCTGAACTTGATTCATATTGTCCTTCATACTAAAAAAAAATATTTGTAGATATAAATTAGCACTGGTGGAAAGTTTCAAGGAAGTTGTTCCATTCACTGTAATATCATGGGTGCTAGAAGAAAGTGTGTGTATTTCAGTTCTATGCACATATTATTGCTAGAAATGAAATTGCAGAATTTGCAATTCTGACAATGTTGACAGTGTATTTGTGATACCTTGGCACTGCTTCTCATCTGTCTTTGCCTTTAAAAAGCTTGATATTGCTGATAGGAAGGTGGGGGGGGTGAAACTTGTGGTCCCCAAGATGTTGTGTAAGTATTAGAGTTGTGTAGAGCTTCAGTGGGATGATTTGATCAGAAGATTATTTCAGTGAATTATCCCACCAAAGCAGAGCTATAAAGAGACAGACCAATATTTTTATTAAAGATTATAATTAGATTAATAAAATCCAATGCAAATTAAAAGAAAGAATAGAAAGAAAGAGTAGAAGGTGCAGAAAAGAAAG